GCCAAATGAAATATTATCTTCTCAAATACAATCTGTTCTCCTCTACTTTTTTAATCTTCTCTTGTAAAATGTTCTTTCAATGTTCCATCTCTTCTGCAATTAGTCATCCAAAGCAGCTCGACGTGACTCATTTCACCAACAGTGGAAACAACAGCAGCTAGTTTATTGACCACTTGTCCACCTGCTCATGTTTACTTTTCTGTATGGCCGTGTTTGAAGCGGATTTCAAAGAGGAGACAATAGCAAAAGGACAGCGACGACCCGTCCACAGCTAGGACAGCTGACGCAACCAAAACCTCCGCGGCAGATCTTCGCCTGGCCTAACATCTCACATATGGTGGCATTAGTCTAAACAGACTGCGGTAAGACTACAGATGATTTAGCTGTGTGGATGCATCATTTACGACAAGATATCTTGGCCGCTATTTTGCTTTCAGAAGACATAGCAGCCATTTAATTCCAAATCAACTGAGATTCATGTAATGAGAGCATTTCTGCGTCAAAGAACCACAAGCGAAGACTACGGCCAATAAACACACACAAAGGAAAAACATCTACTGACCTCTCAATTATCCTCATCAGTATTCCTGTCTGAATGTTTTGAACGGAAGAATATTTACAAAACGGTCTGCGCACTTCAAAACCTTCACCGAATTAACACGTTCCGCTTAATTTCATGTGTAAATTAGAGCCGTGATTGTAGCATGCAGTAGGACGTGAATGAATGTCTCACATGGACGGGTCAGTGACGGATAATGCTCTCAAAGTGGAAGAGACATTTTAACTGAAAACAATTATCTGAAGAATTTATTTCACTGGTCTTTGCCACAAAGTTTTTCGTCTGTTTATCATTACGCAAAATTACAAATAAATTAGACTTATAATTGGTTCATTTATTGTTCAGTTTGTTCAGTAAATCACTGTTTTGGCAGTAAATGGTAATGGATCTATTTAAAGCGCACGCTATGGCATGAAACTACTTTTTTCTCTCTCTCCAGAGTAAGCTGCATTTTAAGAGAACGAAAGGTAAAACCTTTTTTAGACTTTTAAAAGCAAGTTAAGGAATTTAATGTTTAAAGGTGACATCATGCAAATCTGACTTTTCCAGGTTTCAAGTGCTATATACAGGTCCCCGGGGCATCTACCAACCAAGGAAACGTGAAAAAGATTAACCCAGTAACTTTGTTTTGGGAAGCCTTTTTCTGCAAGCGTCTGAGAAAACGAGCGCGTCAGATTTCGCTCCCTTGGTGACATTGCAAAGGGATCTCAGTTCTAATGGCATGGCAAAAGTTTGAGCAAAACATGCTAACTGTTCTGTCGTTGGCTGCACAGATGAGCACAGAACAATATTTAGAGTCCCAGCCTCAGAGGAGGCAACAGAGCAGTGGATTTATTGATTTATTTACTGTATATTGCTGCTGATACACAGATCTAAAGCAAACATGCAATTTATTTCCCAGCTGTTTACCTTCACAGACATAACCCACTGTTTTTTGTAACTCGTGTGTTTTTAACGTAAACTTGTGTGTGAATGAGAACTTAGTTTAGTACTCACATGCTGTGACAGCCGCTTTCTGTGCGTGTGCTTCGGGTGTGTGCGCTCAGAAAACCGTATATCAGAAGTTTAAACTCATATGGTTTAAAACGCATGATTTCAGCGCGATAAACATGATAATCAGAACCAAAACAGATGTTTTTTTAGCAGGTCCGAGCTGTAATGCTCGGCCAGTGTTGCCAACTGCTTTCAATAGAAAGTAGCTAAAGCCAGTTTGAAAAGTCGCTAAATGTCACCAGATGACGTCATACACTAATTAACATATCCATGACGTCAGCGTGTCTGTTGCCTTTTACATTTGTTTGTCTCTCTGTGCTCACATACTGTATTTTAATGCAGCCAAATTCTCAATAAAACTGTTTTCATTTATATATATTCCGGTTTCTGTTGTCAGACAACAGAATAAATATGAAATAGTGACTGAAATGCGGCCCTTTAAGACTACATAACCAGCTCTCCCTTCCAAGACGTTAATCTGTACAAAAATCCTGCTTTATATTTGAGCCATCGTCTGATGAAATGAAACGCACATAAGAAAAGACAAGACAAAGACAATTCCTGTGTTGTGATTTCGGTTATATTTGCATGTAAAAATAGAGAAGCAACATAATATCTATTTTAACTGAAGGCGCTGCTCCTCTCAGCCGCTCGCTGTACAGAGCAGATGCAGAGAGAGAGGTGTGTGCGCGCTGACCTCGCGCCGTTGCATCAGTACCAGCCATCACAGAGACTCGCTGAGGTTTGTCCAAGAAGTCGCTAGATTTGTCGCTAGTCACTTTTTTGGAAAAAAAAGTCGCCGGGGGGTCTGAAAAGTCACTAAATCTAGCGACAACGTCACTAAGTTGGCAACACTGGTAATGGCGCAGCTCTATTCTGGAAAAGGGGGCGGGGAGCAGCAGCTCGTTTGCATTTAAAGAGACATGTCCGAAAAACAGCGTGTTTCTGCTTCCACTCAAAATAGGCATTTTCAAAATGATATAATAAATGATCTGTGGAGTATTTTGAGCTGAAACTTCACAGACACATTCTGGGGACACCAGAGACTTATATTACATATTGTAAAAAGGGGCATAATATGTCTCCTTTAAGCAAGTTAATGTTTTCCACTAAATACTCAAAAACTGAACATGGTTAACATTTATATCAAAATATCATAGTTACTGTAGTATATTCATGTACAACCATAACTGGAGAATATTTAGTCTACAGCTTTCTTTACAATGCCATCATATGCAGCAATTACACTGTAAAAATAGCAATTTAAACACTTTTTAATGCAGTGGTTCACTATACTCCTCAAAAGTTTGGGATCAACAACTAGACTTTTATTCAGCAAGGATGCACTAAATTGATCAAAAGTGACAGTAACGACATTTATAATGTTACAAAGATTTCTATTTCTAATCAATTCTATTCTTTGGAATTTTAAATTCATCAAAAAAACCTGTTTCCACAAAAATATGAAACGGTTTTCAACATTGATAATAAGAAATGATTCTTGAGGACCAAATCAGCACATTAGACTTTTTATACTTTAGGATCCTTTTTTTCATGGCTTTACATTTTGAAAATTTTACTTTTCCCCCCACACAAAAACACTTATGTCCCAGATTCGAGAGATTCATTTCTCACTCTCGTCTCCTCCGAACCGACAGTTGTCTCTTAGCCCTAATGGCTTTTCGGCTGGCGTTGGGAATTCTAATGGAGTAGGATATAGAAGGCAGAAGGCATGCTATCTGTGTTTTTAGAAAGAGAAAGACTCAGTCAAGCTGCTGCCCATGGGAAAAGGTGCTGTATAGAGTATTTCTAAAGACAACTCAACAAATCCAAGCCACTAACCTTATCAGGATACAAGTCAGACACTGAATTGATCTCCCACAACCTGTGGGTGGCCTTCATGTGGTTTGCTTTGCATAAATCTCTACAGCCGTTTCTCTGTAAGTATTCCAAAAAGATCACTGGAGAAGAATTTGTTGCATGTGTGACATTCAATTTTGAATCAGGAAGTCAAAATCTGATTCAAAACCAAAAGACTACACTATATCTTCTCTGGCATGCAAAAAAAAAAAATATATATTATTATGATGATACAGAATCACTGAAAAATATCCAGTGCTAAAAGTGTGGCAACAGAAATATTACAAGCAGCTCCTCAAGACCAGTTACACACACTGATGACTTTTATTACAGTGCTGTGACCTGGGGATCCAAATAATGCGGAAATGTCCTTGAGCTGAGTGAACTAGAGTCAGCTTTCATCATGGGAGAAGGTCCTCTAACAGAACAGAGGCCAGATGTGTGCGCCATTTTCATTAGCATTCTGGAGATAATGCAGAGAAAGAGCTGCTTGACTAAACCCAAGCCCGGGAGATAAGGTGGCCGTTCTCCAGCCCGGACCACACAATTAAGCACATCACTGAGCTCCTGTCAGTCACCTGAGGAAACGCTACACTGGCTGACTCACAAAGACACCGGCCTCACACACAGCTGCATATCAAAGACACGGTAAACACAAAGCCCACATCCGTCTCTACTCTACTCACAATGCAAATGCAGTTTCATAGTTACCTGTGGTGACAAACCTCTGTCCCACATTTCATAAACTGAACTTCAGAAGTGGCCAGCTTTTGACTCAGATATTTGATTCAGCAATGGCTTGAAAATGTCACACTTATTGACCTTGCACATGTGTTTTTACTCCTTGAAAACTTTGTTAATGCAAATTCTGCTGATATGTCACCAGATAATAAGATGTAGCTTTCTAAAACAGATCAAAACTGCAAAAATGACTTTAGAATCTTCAAAGCATCAGTAAAAACGTGTTGAAACCTGCAAAAAATCAGTAATGCTTTGCTTTGTATGGAATTGTTTTCCAGCAAAAGTGTTTGATATTTATGGTTACATTATAGCTGTATATAGTAATAAAAAAAATTCTATGAACAAATAAATAAATAAATAAAAAAGTAAATAACATAACTTATTTCTAAAATTAAAAAACATGTAGCTTAAAAAAATGCTCATTCTTTTTTGGTGGGACCAGTGAAAATTTTGGTGGGGCAAGAAAAAACAACTGGGCCACCAAATGTAAAAATGTAATTCAATAAAATCCTTATTTTTTGACCCCAGGCATTCATATGTAATATTAGTGTTCTGAGCACACACTATGCTGCCCCCTACTGGTACATGTGTACATCAGACAATTCTCTTTTTAAACCCTCTTTTTAAATAGTTTGATTGATTTCTTATCAGCAGACATTTTTCTCTGTGTTGATTTTAAAGGAAAATCTGTGGAATAGCATTAAACATGTTAAAACGAAACTGAGAATACTGCATTCCTATTGCTGGATGCAAATGAAATCAAATTAGCCACACAACTTAATTAAAAACATTTATTAAATAAAAAACAGGACAGTTGAGTCTGTTTATTAAGCATGAGTGGTCTTACCAGTTTTTCTTTGAACACCATGAGACGCAGCCATTTGAAGTCCACGAGTTTAAAGGCAGATAAGACAAAAAGCGAGCTCTTCTCGTAGCGCTCAGGTTTCTGGATTGCTCCTTCAGGGTACGTGATACGCATGGTGGTCTTCGAGCCGACGTCCTTCTCGAACCCGGCCACTGGAGCCTCGTTCAGTCTAAACCAAAGGACAAATCAACATGAAATCCAAACTGCCTTCATTTACTTTATATTCCTGTAATAATGTACGAAATTCAACTGTGAACATTATTAACTGTTAATGTTTGTATTCATAATCATTCATAAACTGTGAAACAACAACAGATTTGTGTTAACATGCCAAATATCAAGTAGTGAATTAGGATTTAGAATTTTTTGTTGACTACTTTTATCAAAGAAGCAAAAAAAACAATGAGCAAAAATCAATAGATTTTTTTTAACTTTTATAATAACTTACCGTACAACAACATCATATTGATCGATTTGGGAGCCCAGGGACTTGTTGAACAGAATGCCTCCGTTGCCAATAATAATACACTTCTTACAACTTATACTACAGGAGAAAATTACAAAACATGATTAAATTAAGAAAATGATCAGCTATACAGAATTAAAGTTTTAGAGAATGAAATTAAATTGTTTTAATATATGTGACCCTGGAGCACAAAACCAGTTTTATGTCGCTGGGGTATATTTGTAGCAATAGCCAAAAAAAGATTGCATGGGTCAAAATGATTGATTTGTCTTTTATGCCAAAAAACATTAGGATATTAAGTAAAGATCATGTTCCATGAAGATATTGTAAATTTCCTTCCGTAAATATATTAAAACTTAATTTTTGATTAGTAATATGCATTGCTAAGAACTTCATTTGGACAACTTTAAAGGCGATTTTCTCAATATTTTGATTTTTTTGCACCGTCAGATTCCAGATTTTCAAATAGTTGTATCTCGGCCAAATATTGTCCTATCATAACAAACCATACATCAATGGAAAGATCATTTATTCAACTTTCAGATGATTTATACATCTCAATTTAAGAAAATGGACCCTTATGACTGGTTTTGTGGTCCAGGGTCACATATGAGATATGGTTCATCATGTAATAAACAAATGATATGTTCCTGTAAAAGCAAAGGAGTGAGTGAGATTGTGTTTTGGTGTTTATGTGTACATTAGTTACCTGTCCAGTTCTGAACCTAGTGAATATCTCTTTGTAGCTTGTAAAATATGATCAATGATATTTTCTGTGGACAGAGAAAACAATTATTTACGTATTTAGAGAGAAAAACTACATAAAAACACACCAGAGCCTCAGATGTCTGAACAAAACAGCTGTTTATTTTTTTATTGAGATTTTCTAACAGAAATAACTAAATTGTGAGATTATAAATAGCTGAAGGTTAGCAGAAAGTTACTCAGTTTATGCTGTGATGAGCATCTGTTTCTAAACCACAGGGCATTGATGCGTCTTCTACATTGACTAAAATTACTCGTGATTCGATATTAGTCATTCCGCCCACTTATTCCTAAAGGCAACCCTTGGCATGTTTATGCAGCATGATTTGGCTTTCAATTATACTAATTGTCCATAATATTTAGGATGGAAGATCTTTGTGAATTATGCATGAATGTTGGATTGCATTAAAGGAATAGTTTACCCAAAATTAAACCTTTACTCCCCCTCAGGCCATCCAAGATGTAGAGGAGTTTGTTTCTTCTAAAGAACAGATCTGGAGAAATGTAGCATTCCATCACTGTCTCAGCAATGGCTCCTCTGCAGTGAATGGGTGCCGTCAGAATGAGACTCCAAACAACTGATAAAAACATCACAAGCAATCCACACTACTCCAGTCCATCAGTTAATGTCTTGAGAAAAGCTGTGTGTTTGTAAGAAACAAATCCATAATTTAAGACCATTGCTTCCAGCTAAAATTTGAGTCCTCTATCCATAATATTGCTTTCTCCAGTGAAAAAGATGTCTCGCCTGAATCAGGAGAGAAATATGCACAGATCAAGCACTATTTACGAGGGAAAATGGTCAAAAACGATGGATTTGTTTCTTACAAACACAGCTTTTGGATTCACAAGACGTTAACTGATGGACTGGAGAGGTGTGGATTGCTTGTGGATTATTGTGATGTTTTTATCAGCTGTTTGGACTCTCATTCTGACGGCACCCATTCACTGCAGAGCATCCATTGGTGAGCAAGTGATGCAATGCTACATTTCTCCAAATCTGTTCTGATGAACAAACAAACCCATTAACATTTTGGACAGCCTGAGGGTGAGTACATTTTCAGCAAATTGAAATTTTTGGGTGGGGGACATTTCTAAAGCAGCCCGGTCACACGCTGCCAACAATGCTGTGGCCTCCTGGGAAAGATTCTACATCACAGCTTCAGACACACTCAAGAATAAAGAACACCCCTTTATCTTATGCACAATCCACAGTGCTATTTTTAGTAAAACCGAAAGGCTTTCCACTCGAGAAAAAAAGCTCTTTATGCTAAAGCTAATAGAACGGGATTTGAATGTCAAGTCCACAACAACAAATCCATTGATCGGAGTCATTCTTGGTCCATTTTATAGTCTGCCTGCCAAACAACGTAATCCAGATCACTTGGAAAAGTAATAGCACACCTTTCCTCAACATGCCACACTATTTAAGGCATCATTCATGTCTGCAGCATAAAAAGTTGAATCCATAGGGTTAGGGCTTTGTTCAAAAGCATGAGCAGCATTTTAAGTGGGTTTTCATCTCAACATCACATTAGACAGCAGTAATTCCCACATAGACTCGTAATTCACATCTAAGTGTTTCTGCTGAAAGGCTCGGCTTGAGAAACCTCAGCAGGATGGATGCAGAGATGCAATGTCCCACACCATCTGTCAAAGCAGCTAAACAGAGTCAGAGCAGCACTCATCACTTAACATGCACATTTGTGATTTAAACAGGCTGGAAGGCAATTACACCCAAAACCTCCAGGGCAGGCATGAATGAAGGTGATTGGAAAGTAGAAATGCCTCGTGTTTCTGCTTTAAACTTCTGTAAGCACACCGGATGAAAGCACCACTGAAAACCTGATTGAATAGATGCCACGGGGAAATGGCTTCCATCTTTCTTGCATGAGCCCTTGGTGACTGGTTAAGTGGACATTAGTTTCATTTGTACGTCATGTGTAACATTAATCTATGGGGAAATATATTGGCATATCCTTAGTTTTATTGTTTGTTTTTTTAAAAGCTACGTGACATCATCTTGAAAGGATTAATATATGTACATATAATATTAGTCAAAAGTTTGAAATAATTATTATTTTTAATGTTTTAGATACCATGATACATTATCATTCAAAAGTTAAAAAAAGAAAGAAATTAATACTTTTATTCAGTAAGGAAGCATTAAATTGATTAAAAGTGACAGTAAAGACATTTATAATGTTACAAAGATTACTATTTTAAATAAAAACTGTTCTTTTAAACTTTCTATTCATCAAAGAATCCTGAAAAAAAATTATGGTTTCAGTTTTCTTTTTTTTTTCAGTTTTCAACACTGAAAAATATAATAACCATTATTAATAACTGTGCATCATTATTTATTGCTAACAACTGATCAGCAAATCAGCATATTAGAATGATTTCTGAAGATCATGTGACACTGAAGACTGGAGGAATGATGCTGAAAATACAGCTTTGATCACAGAAATAAATTACATTTTACAATATATTTACATAGAAAACACTTATTTTAAAATGTAACAATATATCAAAATATTACAGTTTTTAATTACTTATGTTGATCGAATAAATGCAGCCTTCATGAGTATAAAACTGCTTTCAAAATAATTTAAAAATCTTAATTATTCAAAATAATGAATAATGAAAGAAAGAAATAATGAATGCGGAGAATGAATGCTTGAACCCATCTTGGACTGCTGCATTATGACAATGTTTTTTCCAGTGTTAAACAAAGAAAATGTTTGAATTCTTAAGATGCACGGCTACTTTTGAACAGTCATCAAATTAGAAAGATGCTTTTCACCTTAACAATGGACCCTTGATGATGAAGAACAACATAACCGCTTAGAGTAAATTTGACTTTAGATGTCTGAAAATGTGCAATATTTGTGGGAAAATATTTGAAAACACAAATGTTTAACAATCACTGACATTCCTATCCATTCCTATTCCAGCATTAGATTTCTCAGAGGACCTCTGACTGAACAACAGATCGCAATTTCCTTTGTGATTTTTACAGCGGTTGTGTGAGAAAAACACAGGCGTGTTTGAAATGACAAAGCACGTCTTGTGAAACACTAATTTACTCGACCTCCTCAGGGAGAACTAGGCCCGTCTGAATAAAGTGTTTGACTTATGATTGTTCTACTGTTTACACAAGATACATTGTTAACATGTTTAATTGGATCATCTGCTAATGAAACCAACAGCGCTGACAATGGAAAAACTGCAAGTCCTCCAACTCAGTGTTACTTTTACCACAGCAGTTTTCGGAGTAAAGAAGTGCCTACACTTTTAAATACGAAAGGACAAAATCAAACTTGATTGAGGGCTGTGGACAAAAAGGAAATGTTGCATTATATCCAACTATATTATATTAAAATATATTAAATAAAGAATTAAATAATGAAATTACATTTTTTTATTAAATTCACTTGTATTGTTTTTCTCAATGAAAACTAAAGATAAAAAATATATAAAAATTTGAAATGAAAATATGCTTCAACGGCATGTTTTTCCCTCCTCTTGTGATATGGCATGGCAGAAATAAACGTGAAATAAAAGCAGACTCAAAGCAACTCAGAAAGGAAGAAATACCTTGTGTTCTTACTCCAAACGGAGGCAAGTAACTGCTGATATTTGATAGCCTCTTGAAATTTGGATCGAGGAACATGGGGGCTGGTTTTGAAAACCTAAAACAATAAAAGACAAAGAGAGAAAACACAAGTCAAAACAAGCACACTATCACTCCACAGTCTGTATGAGAAAAGGGTTGCGATATTTTGATAACCAGTGGAATATTTTAAAGGATTACGTAGTTCGCATTACCCATAATCCAGTGTGTTTATCGGTTGGTAGGAGATGAGCACTGGAATGTCTAGTCCAGCCTAAACCTGACCTTTCCTCAAAACATGCACAGACTTATAAGGAGCTGAGATCACCAAACTACAAGCTACTCATCTACAGACGTTAGACTACAGTCCAGCTACACTTTTAAAAAAGCACTTCAGTACACTACACTACAGTAGTTATTTAAGGGGGCAACATCTTTTTAAATATATATAACTATGAGATCATTTATTTGAACATTTTTTGGTACAAAAACTATGGATGCACTGAAACGTTTTCCACCAAAAATTCACATCTGAAGTGCAATTTTTAGTTTTTTGGCTGTATTTCAAAATTCTATTTGAAAGAGTGAACAGAAATTAGTACTTCAACATTCAATAACAATATTTCTGAAATGGATATAAAGGAGCGTGCACTTCTGCATTTAATTATATTTAATGCAAATGTAAACGATGACGGATTATATACTGATAAAACTGAAAATAAGCTAGAGTATTTATACTAATGAACTATATTCCTTGGCAGAATTGATTTTTATTAGTAGTATTAACAGTATTTAAAAATATATATATATATTATGATAAATTATTAAAAATAGAAAATGTATTTATATATTAAAAATGTATTTATTGTTGGGACACATTTTTGTAGATTGTGACAAGGAAATTATCATTTTAAACAATAACTGTGTAACAAGTACTGTATCACAACTTAATGAGAAAAATAAATGCATTACAGAAAATGTGCATAACTGAACATTTTAATAATTTGAATAATAATAGAAAAAAATGGAAAAAATCTAAATCTAAAATCTAAATTTTTTTAAATAAAATAAAAAATACCACTACCTCCTGAAAAAAGCATTTAACCGGAAAAGCTACACTATTATAAACAGCTGCCGTCACACTACTGTAAAGTGTACTACTGTAATACTCTCCAAAACCGCTCGCTAATATATAAGAAAAATAAGAAAAGAGTATACAAGGAACAGTGTTGGGGAAAGTTACTTTTAAAAGTAATGCATTACAATATTGCGTTACTCCATAAAAAAGTAACTAATTATGTTACTTAGTTACTTTTTATGGGAAGTAATGTGTTACGTTACTTTTGCGTTACTTTTTCAATCTGGACAGGGCTTGCTTGTTTGTTTTTAAAATAAAAAAAGTTATATTTTTGGCAAATATAAAAGCCTTTTCACACCAAACCTGAAATGAATAAGCCTCAGGCTGAAGGGAAAGTAAATTTACGTCCGTACAGTAGAATGCAGAAGAAGACATTTCAACACTTCAGCAATAAAAGAAAGAGTACTAGAGTAATTTGTGCTTATTAGTACGCTTGAACTGGATCATCGAAGGTCAGAAGCAAAGACATTGGTTAATAGAATGGGATTAAATACATAAAGCATATTTGT